CTATCATGGAGACAGATAGCCTGCATTACAGAAAGTAGTTGCACAACAGGCTCGTTCGCTCCTGGCACGCCGCAGAGAAGATCACGCTACGATTAGTGCATGTTGTGCTTGTAAGCAAAGTCCTCGGTGCCACTTAACTGTGTGGACATTCTGTCTGTCAATGCCTTTCGCGTTCTCGACAGCTAAAATGTATCACCCTGACAGGCGAACAGGCGCCTACTGGTATGTGTGACGCAGGCGACTTGACAGAAGGGAATCCAAATTCGATACAAAAAATTGGAGACTAACTATCGCTTTCGGCCAACGGCAGACAATTCGTCATACCAAAATGAAAAGAGGCAGGCACGGCAAAGACGACGCCAACATTCCAGCAAACACAAATGGATGGAAAATGGACCAGCACGGCCGTTAATAGTGTTTGATATTGTAGAGCGTGAAGTCACAATAAGGACCGAAAACCGAAACTTGCATGTTGTTGTATGTTTGTAAGGGGCACGTCTGGACGTACCCTTGCTAGGCAGTGGTCCAATCGGCTGGCTGAGAGGCTCCAGTAGTCGAGTGGTGTACGAGAAAAGGAAAGGAAGAAACTCCTCCCCACGAACTATTGACGTATTCCTCACTGTGACAAATTTGACGCAATTGATGTTTTTCCGCTGCGCTAAGCAGTGGCTCGGAAAAGAGTCAATTGAAGGGATAACTAGTCCCTTGTGAAAAGACAGAGTTAGAACGCAAGGAGAACCACGTCGGCAATGAATCTCGTTACCAACGTGGAACACTAGCTCACCGCCGCGCCCAAAAGAGTGGCATCAACTCCCGCAAACAGCAGAAACTGATTAGTCCGTTGGTTGACGAGGGTTATGCTGACAAGCATACTGGCTTGGCAACATTTACGACAGCTGCAAAGGGGCCAAATGACACGCGAGTCCACCAGCGGTCAGTCTCGGAGGGATCAACAATAATCAGCGGCGAATAGGCGGGTAAAAGTTCATGCGTCGAGTACGGATATAATAATAAGCAGGCGTCAAGATTGAATCAGGAAGAACCACCACTTTACATTGAGGATGGAACCGAGAGTGTTTCCGAAAGGTCAGCCTAAATACACTTCGGTCCATGTCCTCGTCTCTTCTTCGTCTTCTTTTGAGGGTGATGAAAACGATCATATAGACTTGTATATTTCAAGTTAAAAGGTTAATTGAGGAATAAGCAGATGAAAAAAGACTTCAAGGGACTTGCCTCGCCCATAGGGTAACGGTAGTGGTATTTATCGGCATCACGTCGGGAAAACTCCAACGGGTACTGACTTTGTATCTCCTCGTATGTCATCCCTTCGCAAACGCCCTAAAAATGCAAACAACGGGAGATGATGCAATATTTCCATAGCTAAATCAATCCAAATGCAAGCCTCACCTGATGGCTGACTAATGCCTATTTAAGACGACACTACCGCTCTCCTGGATCCCAGGAGACCATTGAGCCAATTCGGAGCATGATATAAGGGCCTAATGGGGCGGGCAAAG